AGCTTCCTCTCTCCCCACCATAACAAATGCTGTGGTTGGAGAGGACAAGAACTGACAGAGCCCCAGTTACTCACAGGACTCAGTGCACCAGGATAATACTTCAGCTAAGCTGTATTTAGAAAAAAGATTATACCTTTACAGCACGCTAGAAAAATAATATGCATTTGTGTCAGCTGAGATGAAGGAGTATAAACCTGCATACTTGAGGTCCTGATTCAGCTTCTAGCCAGCACAGATCCTAAAGAAACCTCTCTTCCCCTGACACACTGGTACTGGTCCCTGACAGAGGCTGGATGGAGCAGGGCCAAAGCTAGGAACACAGACTTGTCCTACGGCTCAGTTCAAGTCAGCAGCTACTGTGTGTGGGGAAAGGACAACGTAAGTGAGTAGTAATCAGGACTGCCATTTCCATGGGAGAGAGAAGGTATTAGAAAGTAACAGGGCCCTTTGGAAAAGCAGGAAAAGGACTGCATTTTCCCACAGGCACTCTTAGGTGTGTTAGCATCACTGCCTTTCTCCCCACCATGTCTTCCACAAGGTCCTTCCCACCCCTCTCCCGCTGGGCTGGGCACCGTACGTACTGGTCTTCCAGGCATCCGGAGCCTGCAGGTCGGAGGTCTTCACTGCCCAGGACGCAAAGGCACAGAAGACGAGGCACATGTCTTTGTGGGTCAGTGCCAGTGGAGCCTCGGGTCTCCCTGCGAGAAGAACACAAGGCTTGGGGTTTTACAACACCTCCTATGCCACAGCAGGCTCCTGGGGCAGCGAGTCCCTTGCACTCCCAGAGAAATACATCTTTGTCACACGTTTTCCCTCCCAAAAGACCTTTTTTCACCGTTAGTCCAGTCAAACATGTCTATTTAGGACTCAGGTACATTTCCTAAGGAGAGGGGCACATTTTTTACCCCGCTCAGTTTTGCACTTTAAGAGCCCGAAGCAAATATTTGTTAATGCTACCCATGGGCCTGGGAGGCACAGCCAGCGGACATGCCGCCTCCGGGACCTCTGACTGCCTCACCACCTCCCTGCATCTCTTCCCAGCGCACCCCTGTGGGGTGGCTGGAAGTGGGGAGTAGATTTAGGAGAGAGCAATTCCCGGGCTGGCTGCTGATGCACTGGGGCTGCAGGCAGGCTGCTCCGGACAAGGTCCCCTTCCTGCAAGACAAGGCGCTGAGACGCACGCAGCTCTAGGAGAACATGTAGCCCCCTGAGAAGCACCAGTGCTCAGCAGCTCTCCCCGGATCCCACCTTGCTCCCGCTGCCTGCTAGGACCAGGGAGGGAGGCAGCCCTGAGTGCTCTGCATTTCTTTCTCTGCTGCCGTTCCAGTCTAGCACAACCTGAAGACATGTTGCAAGAGTAGGTTATTTTTGCTCCTATGTTTATTTGATCAGGCTTTTAATTAAAGCTGGCTTATTAATTAGCTACGACCACGGCAAAGGGGTTTTTCCTCTGTGCAAACAGACTGGGAGCTCTATTTTCAGGCACCTTTTGGGATGACTCATTCATTGTTTGGTTTTAATATTAACTGTGAGACACTGTGGCTGTCAGCATCATACAGGCTTTAAGATAAATACGCTGGCTGCCCTATGGGTTAGACTTGTTCCTTCTCATGACCACCTCTGCCCCAGGACTGGAGTTTGCAGGGAGCAAAGCAAGGTATGCCCAGAATATACCCAGATTCCCTGTCCCAGCACTGGGAGCCCGCCTGCGGGGCCTGGCCAGCAGCACTCGCTTGGCATAGGGACCGCGGGAGCATCACAAGAGAGAGCCAATGCGACACAGCGTGTCATGGTGGTGGCTTTAGCCACGCTTCCAAAGATCCCTGCTAAAGGCCCGGGCTGCTGCGTGGCAAGGCAACGTGCCAGGATTCTCCACGATACCTGGTGGAGCCCACCAAAATGCTCCCCTCTGTACGGTGGCCTTAATGCCGCTGCGGCTGGAGTGGCGATGGCTGCAGCACGGCCAGAGCTGGCTGCCAGGCTTGCCAAGGGGTGGGAGCAGGGCAGGCCACACAAGGCAGAGGAATATCTATGCACAACAGCGAGCCGGGGCTGTCGGGCCGCGGGCAGGGGGTAACAGTGCTTTACCTGTCAGTGCAAGGGCCATGTCCAAAGCTTCTGGCCGCGCCTGGCCTCTTCCCAACGGAGCCAGCGGGACGAGGGGGAGCTTCTCTCCAGATCCTCTCCGCACGAGAGCCTGGGGGGCTGGGGCTTGGCCTCTGATGAGGTACATTGGCCTTTGCAGGAGGGACTTCAAAGCCCCCACAGCTTTCTTCACCTCAGAGGCTGGAGTGATGGAGAAAATCCCTCTCCAGCCCACCCTGTTCCCAGGCCTGTCCAGAAAGAAGTGTTCATACACCTCAGGGACTGAGATAACCAGGGAGTCTTTGACTGGGGCCGAGTCGGGATCCTCATTTTGCAGCTGAGCGTGGTCCAAGCTGCTGAACTTCTTTCGCTTCCTGTCTTTACCCTTGACTTTTTTCCTGTTTCCTTCTGGTTCATTGAAAAAATATTCATACAGTTCAGGCAAGGATATTTCCCTTTCCAAGGGTGTTTTCTCCCCCTCCACTGAGTTCCCCATTCCTTCTTCTTCCCCTTGGGAGTCACAGAACAAATACTCGTACATCTCAGGCCAAGTCACATCCAGGGTGTCTGCCCTTGCAGAGGCCCCAGCTGCAAAGCATGGGGGGCCCAGCTCCCCGGGGGTCTCAGCTGCAGGCTCCCCATGAGCTCCCTCAGCATCATCCCCTACAAAAGCTGCCACGCTCTTGGGATGGAGAGGCTTCCCCAGCACCTCCTGGCATGCCTCTCCTGCAGGAGCCGCGGCTCCGCTGGCAGGAATCAGCAGCACATTGTCACGTACGCCCAAGCCACCAGCCGGCCCTGGCTTTGAAGGCTTGGTGGCCTTCGCCTTCCCCAGGGGCTGTGCCCCCGGCTCCTTCACCTTCTGCTTTGGCGGAGCGCTCACGGCTGGAGGAGAGGCTTCCCCAGCACCTCCTGGCATGCCTCTCCTGCAGGAGCCGCGGCTCCGCTGGCAGGAATCAGCAGCACATTGTCACGTACGCCCAAGCCACCAGCCGGCCCTGGCTTTGAAGGCTTGGTGCCCTTCGCCTTCCCCAGGGGCTGTGCCCCCGGCTCCTTCACCTTCTGCTTTGGCGGAGCGCTCACGGCTGGATCGCCCTCGTCTGTGCCAGGGCCGGGCATCGGCCGTTTGCTTTCCCCTGCCTCCTCGCTCCCCGGCTTCACAGGAGCTGGCTTGGCTGCCTTCTCCTTCCCTTTGCTCTTCCGTGAGGACAGCGGCGAGCTTAAAGATGCCTTTGTGGGTACGCCAGTCCCCTGCACTGCAGCCCCCGCAGGCTCCCTGTCCCCTTGGGCTGCCTCAGCAGCACCGGCTCCACGTTGCTTGCGGCTCTTTCTCAGCTGTCCTGGCACCTTGGGCCTCACAACTTCTGGGGAGCCAGCCGGGGAGCTCGGCTTGGCGCCCGCTCTCTCCCCACTCACCTCCTCCCGCACCGGGCAGCCAGGAGCTCTGGGTGCAGTCTCCAGGGCTGGGCTTGGGGGGTGGTCATGCGAGGGTCCCCATAGCCCGAGCTCCGAGCGGGAAGCGCCGCTAGGACTTTTCCTCGCCGAACCCTCTGGGGAGGTAGCCAGCACCGGCAAGCTGCCCTGCACCGGAGCCTCCGGCTGTGCCACCACCGGGCTGCCACGGGTCCATTCCCCTCCTGCGTCCCCTCCCTGTTCAGGGGCGCTTGCTCCAGCTGGATGGCTGGGAGGCTCCATGGCCTGACTGCCGCCGGCTGCTCCTTTCTCCGATG